CCCCCCCCCCCCCCACCGCTCCCCTCCCCCCGCCAGCCCCCACTTAATATTAAGCCTCAAGGCTGCTTGCTGGTTTGTCGGGTCGGAGTCGAACTGCTGATCTCTGGTACATTCAGGCAATGTCCCGGGTCGGCGGTGAATCCGGTGCATGCGGTGATTGAGCTTTGCTCAGTAAGACTGAAAAATTCCATCCAAAATCCCTAAAATTCCAACACGGGCGCAAGCCCTGTGTAGCCTTCTCCGAAAGATGTGGCAAGCAAAGCACGTGTCAAGAACTGGCCTGTCAACGCCAGCAAAGGTTTCAGCCATGCCTGAGAGTGCAGCATCGCGGAATTGAACACCTTAGGCCCTAGGGCAAGCCCTGAAATTTGCTGCCTGCTTCAAGTACTTGCGCAGAGGGTGGTCAGAGAGAAATGCGGCTGCGTCCAAGCAGGTTGACACCAGGTCAAACGGTGTCTTGTTTCCTTCTCTAGCTTGGATAGAGAGGATATCCGTCACGGCCCGGGCGTTGTCCTCCCCACAACGAGAGACCACCTCACGTAAGATGAGCTCGGTAATCTTGGTCAGGGTGAAGAGCTCATCTTTGGCACCTTGAAATAGCAACTTCGGAAGCAGGAGCGGGGTGATGGAGCTTCAGGCAGTATGACAACTTGAAGAATCCACCGGATGTCTGGCGCTTTTTGTTTTATGATATCTTCCGTCGCTTAATCACCAGGGCTAGGAAAATCCAAGCACCTACTGCGAGTCTTGCCGTACCCATGTTGTGGAGTTTGTGAGCTTGCTATCGCAACGCAGGCTTTCTGGAACACAGTCTTGCAGCATCGAGAAACAACAACAAACGCTTGCGGCATGGCACCATCCTCCGAATCTTGCAGCATATCCTTCTGCAAGGCAAGGGCTTGGCTGTCACGACTGCTTAGGCAAACTTCCTACTTTGCTGCAGCACGTCCTTCGCAGGCGACCAACCTTTGCATTCCTCCCATTTCCTTTCCGGTGGCCAGTCCATGCCGCTTTGGTACATCTGTGCAGCAGAACCTCGGGTGTTGGCACGGCAGCAGTCTCTCACCGGGCCACACTGCACCGTCGGATCGGCCAAGCATCGTCGGCACAGAAGGTGCAACGGTGTCTCTTGGTTCTGCCCACCCTCGCTTAGCACTGCACCGTGACTGAGCAGAAGCCTCAGGCTTCTCAAAGAGCTACGGCTGAGTGGCGCTGACGAACCAGGCTTTGGCCCCGACTGAACTATCTCTTTCTGGTGTTTGAAGGACTTCTGCACCGCGACGTGAAGGGCAGTGTTGCCAGCAGCATCAGCACCTGAGGCCGGGCCTCCCCAACCCAAAGAACGTTGCTGAAGTCTTCGCAGTGAGCGTTACAGAAGAAATGCCTTGTAACATTGTAACATCTTCAAGCTGATTCGGAGGCGCTTTCCACCAGCGCGGGCTGAGCGATGAGCAGGTTGCGAACAGCTCCCACCTCCGAGTGCGATAAAACAGCAAAACTCCGGCAGTAACAAGGGTTCGAAGTACCGTCAAGTTGCAGTTTTCAGAAGTTTACAACCACGAGACGGCAACACTGTCGGGAATCCTTTTGACTGACAGGTGCAACGGGCGCATGCATCGAATGCAGTGACGACAGCACACTACGGCCACTACGTCCTTTCTATCGACCTGTTGCTCGAGGACGACATGGCCCAGGCCTCTCCGGACCGGATCAACTGGAAGAAGGTTTGCCCGGCCTGGTTGAAGATGCCTGAAGTGTTTAGCTTTCGGCAGGAGCCACGAAACTTGCGCACCACGAGATTACAGAGTGCTTGCAACGAGGCTCTGATCAGATCCTGCTTGAGCTGGCTGTTGTGGCATTCATCTTCCCATTTCACACGGGCTCGATGGTTCTCGTCCAAGCCCAACATTCCTTGCACTGTCGGCCATGTGCCGACTACACGCGTTTCCTAGCAGGCCAATGCTGTTCCCAGTGGCTGGAGGCAAGACGTTTTGCCACATCTTCTTTCCCGTGACGAAGTGCCAGGATGAGCGGCGGAGTCTGTCGGAATGAAATTTGCAGACGAAAGATGCCTGGTGCCTACTTGGACGACATTGGCGCTCGTGACAACTCGCTCAGCGTGGGCTGAGTCCTGCTCGAGAGCTACCAGTACGAGCAAGATTGAGCTCTAGCAGGCGTGTCGAGCTGGCACACAGGGACGGCAGAGGCGTTAGTCACGGCAGGGCCGATACCCGGGCCTGATCGCACATGCTGGCATTCCTCGGCGCTGCACTTGCATGCTGACTCCTCTAGGAGCCCTTTCGCCACATGCTGTAGAGAAAGGACAAAGGAGGACACTCCTCCGCCCTTACTTGCAGCACTAGCCAACAAGTCGGCCACCCAACTTCTCTGCCCTTTCAACACCGAGCACCGCAAGATTACTGCAAGACTAATCTCGAGAAAACTGCAAGCTAGGGCACAGCTTCGTCTCTTCGATTTCTGGCATTCGGGCGTGGAGTGCTCGCAGCATGACACAACCAGGTATTGTCACGTTGTATGAGCACTCTAACATACTTCAACAAGCTTAGGCATACATGGCCAATGTGCTCTGGCGAAGAATTCCTTATTTTGGTATCTACACATGTTTGTTTTGCATGGTGGAGGACGGAGAATACCGACAGTTGTTTAGCAAGTTTAGCACCCATCCAGAGAATGCCCTGTACTGGGAATGCAAATAGGGACGTGCCGGAGCAATGGCACAATGGTTGTGTATGGTTGCATCGCTTGATGTCTACCATTTACACTCCTGGACGCCAGGATCTTAAGTAGCAGTTGGGCAACTTGCAGACGAATATTACTCCGGGTGAACGTTGTCTGACCAGTACTAGAATCTGAGGAACGCTGCAAGGCAACGCCTTGAGCAGTTCAGCGCAAAGTGGAGGCCTGCACTTTCTTCCTACCGGTGCCCGTCCAAGCCTTCTGGGATCAGCGCTTGACGCAGGAGATCTGGAGCTGCCAGTGCATTCAGAATCTCCCTGCAACAAAGACGGGGGGGGGGGGGCGAAAAGGCTATGCATCAACACACGACACGACGTGCCTCAAGGAATCCACATCGCCCTTCAGGGCACAAATCTGCACCACGTTGAGCCCATTCTCGTCCTCCCGAAACATACGGTTATACGGACAGTGCTGCGGTCTAGAATGTCGGGTTCTGTTCAGGCTCGAATGGACACAGGTGCGATATGAGTAGTCTGCTATGCTGCTATTCGGCCATTCGTTTGGTGACAAGCTCTCGCAAGCTTCGTGCCTGAGGCCAAACGGGGCACCAAAGGTCAAACGGCAATGCAGCCCCAGGTGACCTGGTCTTGGTCCAGCAGCTTCGTCAGGATCTTCCTGTCCGCGGTGTTTTTCAGCAGAGCCTGGGCACCGCTGTCGAGAGAGTGAGAGAGAGAAGCACGGCTGTGCAGCAGGAGCACCTTGAGGAATCGGGAAGGTCCTGTTGGGTTGTCCAGAGCCGCGAAGAAGCAGCTGCTCTCAAGGACAGCCGCTGGGAGCACATGCACGAGCTTCTCCACCACGGGGCCGGCATACGTGTGGCCACACGAGCTGACCAGATACTCCAGGGCGGACTTGCCATCTGCGTCTCTCTTTGTCAAATTCATCCAGCTGTTTGACTCGGCCACCTTGGCCATCAGGATGCTCATCACTTCCTGAAACTCCTCTGGATCAGGTGCTCTCTGACCAGGAGACCTGGCAGAAAAGTCGCCAGAACCCACCTATGAGAGCTGACAACGCGACCTGAGCGAAAGAGTCTTGGCCAGCAAGTGCATGGGGTGCTCCTCTTGTTGCACGTAAAGACTCGTCAATGCACACGGCACTCTTACAAGCTCCCCCCCATTTTGGAGAAAGCGGGGAGATTCGACTGTAGGAAGGTGATGCATGAGTCAGGGCCGATGCTCTCCTTCTTGAAGTTTGGTGGCAATGGCTGCACGCCTCCCTCCAAAAGGTACCTTATGGGCGGTGCAGCTTCCAGTGTGTCACGATGCGCAGCTGCGCCCCTCTTGCAGCACAGCTACTTCATCGTCTTGTAGCTGTGGTTCCTGGCAGCACTGTGTATGGGCCGCTCCTGGTTCATATTCTTGTCCTTGCCACACAGGGCGCTGAGAGGACATGCTGCTTTGCCACACCTTTCACGAGGTACTTCGGCAGGACTGTCACAGATTCCGTTACCCCAGTACCAACATCATGCTGTATAGTTTGTGCCAAGCATCTTCCTTGTTCACCTCGACTCGCAGCACAGCTTGAGGAAACTTGATGACTAGACCTTACCTGGAAACAATGTTCATACTATACTGAATTATACTGGTATATGCTCCGGAATCTTGGCCGCTCAAAAGTTCGCGCCTTGTACTTCTCACACAGCAGTTTGACGATGTCGATGTTGTCCGAGCGGGCAGCCATGTGCAGTGCTGTGTCGCCGGTGGTGGCGTCTTTCTTTTTGCGCCACTCTGCTTTCGCTTCCAGCGCCACATCGAAAAACTCAATAGCCTCCACGATGTCACCAAAAATGACAGTGTGACACAGAAACAGCGGTCTGCACTGTGGCTTCAGGCTCTTGAGGGCATTAGAGTGTTCGATCTTTCAAGCTAGCACTCTCGACAAAGCACACTGTTGGCTCGACAGTACAGGCGCACAAGACTGTGGTCTACCGCCAAATCGGCTCACAGCTGTGAGCCAGAATGGCCCCGCCCGGACTTTTCCGGTGTGGGAGCAAAGCCCAGGCACAGCGCCACCAGAGTCCCCGAGAACAACACCAAAGCCCGGCTTCCAAGCGGGAAACTTCACAACCCCGCGACTGCTGCTCACAGCAGGGTCTAGGCTTCCAGGGCGTGCGGTATTTTGTGAGCAGCTCGTCTGTTCACTAGTGACACTAGTCACTAGTGGCTTGCTTTGCCAGGAGACATGGGGAAATGTTAACTGCACGGCTTGGACACAGTTGCCTCTTCGGTGTCCAGGGAGGCGACATAGTGGATGTGCTCGTGGAGCTCCCTGGGCCAACACCGCTTGTGAGAGGGGCTGTGACTCGCTCAAAATGCAGAGCCTCTTCAAAGCTTCCACCAACTCCTGCAAGGTTTACACGTCAACACGCTACGCATCCTGAAGCTACAGACTGAAACGTTCTGCACCACGCGTAGTGTGTGTTGGCGTGGCGATTCATCGGGCATTACAAGGGTTAGGACGGTAAGAGGTTGGGATAATCCTCAATCGCATAAGAACCTGAGCCTGACATCTGAAACCCCGAGTGTAGGATGGAACCGTGGCTGCTGTGTTTGCAAATACCCTGAGCGGGGCGAACCGCTGCTTGCTTCTGCTGTCTTCTTCGGGACGTCTTTACGCCTTTGGGTTGAGGCGCTTGGCTTAAGCCTTGAGAAACAAGCATGCTGTGCAGCTTTGGGAACTCTAGTGTGTCCGGCTTCTTCAGTGTATGTGCCAACGAGATATACCATACAGTCTGTCACCAGGCCCGGTTCCAACCTAGGTCACTGACATTCGGTCCAGGACATCATCTTTGGCTGTCTTTTCATACAGGGTCCAGTGCACGGTGCCGTGCAATTCGATACAGTAGCATGATCCCTGGCTGCTGAGGGGCACCCCACAGATATGCGACAGAATCCCTCTGTGCTTTGGTTGTTTGTCCGATGTACATCCCGACCGGTCAGCAAGCAGTCATCACAATTCTCCTCTCGTGTCTTTCCTTTGAAAGCCTCCTTCATGTCCTTCAACTTTTGCTTCAGGTTGAGGGAAGTCCAACGATCATCCGCTGCCGTGAACAAGCTCCGCAAGTCGTAGATGACTTGATTTCTCTCACCATATCTGGGCATTTCCTCACTTATGCAGGCATCCATCAATATCTTGTCCTATATCATTGCAGGATTTCACATGTTTCCATTGCTGCCCTGGGCTCGATCCCGATAATCTCAGCCGGGCAAGTGATTTTGGTCTCATCCTCGATGTCTGCTAGTCCATCAATGACATGGGCCAGGACCCGCTTCATTCCGTACATAGCAGCATAGTCCACTATTGTGTACTTGCCCTGCTGCGGATTTGAGATACGAACTATCCTCGGCATGCGCACATCAATCAATGACTTTAGGTGGCATGGAGAGTTTGGAGGTGCAAGGGCCAAAATCTGGCTGGTCGCAACTGGCGGTCTTGCTAAGGTGCAATGGAGGGTATGTAGATGTTGGGATGTGCGCAGACGTGGCCTTTTAGCGCATGACCCTAAAAGTCTTCATAGGACTCAAACACTGTCTGGTTTTTGCTTGGGCGCTTCTGCAAGGAAAGGGCTCGAGATTCCATGTTGGTCAGCCAGGCAGTCGCCTCCTGGTCTACCTGCTCCACTCTGGCCGCAATGGCCTCCTCGTCCTTCACAGCTTAAAGCCAGCTCACACTGAGGGCAGACAGGCAAGTGAAGCTTAAGATCTAGTATGATCTAGGCCTACGACATGGGACATGGGGTGCGGGCGAGGGAAGCCTCTGATCTTTACACATCGCAAAGCACCGTCGGCTTCTCCTCGTTCGGCAAGGCACGCGTGTGGATCTTCTGACAGATCGAGACGAAAGCTGGAAGAATCAGGAGGTGATAGGTGCCTGGCATACTGCATCAGAGCTTCACGTAATGGAACAACAACGAACAACAGCATGGGAAGTAAGTCCGAGCCTTCGTCACTTGCGACATCCAGCGGAGTTTGCATGGAAACTTCCTGCAATCTCAGAATGGAGGGGCGCGTGCAAATTTGCAAGTTTCTCGCAGAAGTATGCATAGCATTCGCATGCATTCGCAATACACAGCGAAGCTATCGAACGGCTTGGGCTTGGAGATCCTTGAAGGTGCAGCGATACTTCAACAGCTGGTTGCACACATCTCGCAGGCCTCGCTGCTTCACGGATGGACGAATCAGTCTTCCCGAAATGTCTCAGACTACAACAAGAAAACTTCACAGCTTCCAAGCAGCCGTGCTTGGCTGCGACATGCAGCAAAGTGGTCTTCTCGGCAGAGGCCCCTGTGTGAAAGCTCAAGATTTGCGTATCGGATGCTACTAGCGCCACGAGATCAACAGGCCTGGCTCCTGGACCAGAATGTCCACGATGTACTTGGACAATCCCCTCGGTGCGTGCACACAAGCATGCACTGAACAATGCAACAGGATGCAACAGGATTGCGGCACATATCCGACACCTCAGGAGGTGGGGGAAATCATGCTCAAAATCTGCTCCCGAGCCGAGGTTCCGCGCGACATGGCATGGCCGGCAGAAGCTGGCGAAGGTTTCTGCCAGCAGCGTTCTGCCTTCCTCGGGCAAAGGGCGGCAAATGTATGAAAAGATGTGTCATGCATCCGAATTATCCGACCGTGCACACACTTCGGCCGGTGTTACACAATGCGATGTGCCATGTCTGAAGTCCTGCTTCTCACACAGGAGAGCCTGTTCGATCAAGATCCTTGGTTTTCGTCGTGCAGATGCTCAAAGCCGCACGCTTGAAACTGCTGCTTGCCTCTGTATTCTGTAACATCGACTTTCGTATACTTTCGTCCAGGCATCTTGCAAATACGCGCGTGTGGTGGCAGCCGGATGTCAGAAATACCACTTATACTCTCATCTGCAGTGTCTCGCACGTTGTACATCGTCTCGGCATTGTCCATGGCGCCCAGGAGTGCATGGTCCAAGGGTGTCCGGTGCACGTGCATGGAGATATACTTGCCGCTCTGGAAGTCGTCCACGTCCACCAACACACCCTGGTGCCCAAAATTCACAGTCAGCCACTGAGCCTCAGCTGCGAATTGCAGATGCTGACATGATCATCATGTTGCGTGCGGCGACCCTCGCTCCAGCTTTCATCGCATCATTTACTCAATCGACGATGTTGTTCCTGTGCAGTTCTGCCAAGACTCTCTGTAGCGCAGCCTTTCACAGGCCCTAGCTTCCATCATCCACTTGCACAGCTTTACATCCACAGCTCCTGATGAAAATTCTTTGCAATGGACCAAGCTTCGCCCCCTGAAGCTACAGCCAGCTCCAACCCTCTCCTGGCTCGCCAGACTCCTCGTGACGCATCCCGTCCTCCCCCTTGGCTGGCCAGCGGAAGCCGTCGAAGCGCTCGGGTCGCTGGAAGCAGACCCGCAGCGTGGCAAACTCCGGGATGTCCTCCTGTCATCAGAAACAGGGTCCATCAATGCTCTGCCAGCATGGATCAGCATGGCCGGCTCCTGTCTGAGCCAGTAGACATCTTCCGTGGGCGAGGCCATGACCGCATTGAAAGGCTCGCGCTCGGCTTTCTGGCAGCAGAACTCCGGGAAGGGGATCTCGGTCAGGGCGTAGGCCTGTCGCAGAAGCAGTACTTCGCCAACTCACAGCATGGTGTCATTGCGCCAGCTGGCCTTCTGAAGCTGCGACCAGAGCTCCTGCTTCGGAGGGTCCATGATCGTGAAGCGGAAGTCTTGGATGGACATCTGGTCATAAACATCCACCTGTGCTCCCTTCTCCAAGAGCCACTCGACGTCTTTAAACAAGCCGAAATATGCTGCGTAGTGCAGCAGCACCTGCTTCTGCTCAAAGAGTGTGTGGGAAGTGGGTGAGACTCTGAGGCCCTGATAAACAGCAGCCGAAACGACGGCCGAAGCGATGACGTTACACCTTCTCAAGCCTACTGGTAGCATGGGTGCAAGTAGAGTACTACAAAGATCATGATGTTCAGGACCTTCTTTGCCGGAGATCGACATCTCTTCAGCAGCAGGCCTTCCCGTCCACATCCCGCATCGCAACCAAGACTGCCGGCTCAATGCCAAAATACAAGAAGTACTTGCGAGCGATCTTCTTGGGTGACATTTGGTGCCTGTGCAAAACTGCTGCAAGCTCCGTTGGTGTGCGGACGCAAACAGAAAGGCCCGCCTTGATGCCTTGCGGACGTAATCGTGGAAGAGGAGAAGTTTGGCGAGCTCTTGCCTTTTCGAGTCAGCAACTCCTCCCAGCCAAACTTCTAGGGAAGCCACGAACTTCACAAGGCTTCGCCAGGCTAGTCTAGGCCAGTCTAGGCTTCACATGCTGCGAAGCAGCATCGGATCGCTCCTGCCACCTTCGCCCCGGTCAGCAAGCCGTCTTCCAGCTCGGAATCGGCATCCTCCAAACAGAAAGAGCATCGCAACAGCAGGAAGACACAATCTTAGACTTGGACAAGGCTCTGTGATAGCGACACTGCAAGACAGCGATGGACCTGAAGCTTCGGCTCCAGCGGACCTACAACGGACCTACAACGGCGCGGCGATCCTCCATGATGACTTCGCAGTCTGTGGCAGCAGCGCAATCCAGCGGTGTCTTCTCGCACTCAAGACAGAAGCCGTACGTCGCGTTGTGCGCTTTGAGAATCTTGGACAAACGAAGATTTCTGTATTTGCACGCGAGGTGCCATATTGTAAATCCGTCGCCTTGGAGTTCAGCAACAGAGAACAACAGCCAGCCACCTCTGCGAGTGAAGCATTGTCACTGCCATGTTCAGGCCTTTGGGGGCTGTCTGCATCTCACGAACAGCTTGCTCCATGTTCCTATCAGTACACGGCCCTCGGCAAGCAAAACTCTTTCCTCTGCTCTGGCAAAAGAAAGCGCAGTGCTTGATCTGAACGCTTGAAACATGTGTGAGAGCAGGGAAGCAGAAAGCTGTTATGTTACCTTCTGAGGGCACGCAACGGATGTTGGTCTGAGAATCCGCTTCCCCCACCACAGGAACACATTTGCAAGAAACTCTACCTTTGAGGAGTCTGCTGCTCAACGCTCGGGCGAGTACAACCACCAGCAAACAAATAGCTGGTGTACAGCTGGGGTTTGATGATCTGGCTTGGGTGCATTTGGCAGCCGATCTCTTCCAAGTAGCATAGAGCTCTTCGTAGCGAGCTCTAGGGTCCTCACTACCAAGGAACCTCAACAAGGGACCCTGATCCCGAGCAGAGCGCCCAGGTTGGGAAGTTCTAGGCTCCAGGTGCCCGTTCAAGCATGGCCCCTGAATCACAAGAACTCTGTGGCACCCATTGATGGGGGTGCAGGTTCAAATGCCTCATCAAAGCCAGACAAAGATACGGCCCCAAAGTGAACTGGAACTCAGCAGCACCTGCATTTTTGCGGCACACTTGACATTGATTGCGAATGCCAGGGTGAGCAAAGCCCCGTCGAGCAGAAGTGTCCTCATCAGCGGCCTCGGTCTGTGTTCCGGCCTCGCCAAAGAGTCTCGAGGGATTGGGACCGGGATCGCTTGCCTCCCAAGTCTCAGAGGGCCAGATGTCATGCCAGACATCACTTTGTGTGGATCCGACCGAGGCTCTCCTGCCCGCTTTGACCCCCTCAGCGCTTCTCTTGGAGCAGCAAATCCCGCCAGGCAGTCATGGCACGTGTAGGCCAGCCAGCTCCAAAGAAGCCAACAGACAAGGCGGCATCTCACAGCCATCAATGCGAGGCACGTGTGAGTCACGCACTACCGCTCTTTTCTCGTGGTTTGCACCAGCTCTGCGGAGAAACGCCAAACATGCAAACATGCTGCACAGTGTTGCACTGACACCATGCCGCTTTCTCATGGCCAAAGTGCGCTTCGAATGATAGTTCATGAACTGAAGGCGTTGTTCGGTCTTTGTGGTCTGGCACCACTCCTGGTAGCACGGTGGCGGGACACATGAAGTCTCACCATGAAGCCCTTGAGCCCAGCCTTCAGGGGCAAGTTCGGAAAGAGAGTTACCCACTGCTCTTCGATGACGAAGCCCGTCTCATGGTCCTTCTGACCTCAACTGAAAGGCCCTGTGTCTTTCCGTCTCTGCTCGAAAATTGCAGTTGGTGCACCCAGGAGCAAACCTTCCAAGGTGAAGCTCAGACGTCCCGGGACCTTGTCCAGCTGCACACCGTCCCTGCAAGCCACGATCCGAGCCGTCGCAGCTATGCGGTTGCATCGCAAAGGAATAGCGAGTAGCGAATCGACTACATGAGGCTTGCATCACCACTCTGCGATGACGAGTCTCGAATCCAGCTGAAACTGGAACGGGGCCACCATGTTCGAAGGTCTAAACTCCAAGACAGTTTTGCCCGGTTCTGGAGACGGTGACACGCAGCCATCCTTGGCTGCACAGTACGGATGCGAGTCTCACCTTCAGCTGCAGTCGGGTGGCAAGGTATGTCCGAGCCCCTGTCCTCGGCAAATGCAATTTGGTGCTGTCGAATTCTGTGTCGTTCTCAGGTCCAAGGTGCTCAAACTCGATCCAGAGCACTAGGGATCCAAAACCTGCTGGAACCGCCTGCTCACAAAGCCGAAGGACTGGCTCGAAACACGAAATGTTTGCGGCTTGCCGTCATGACCAAAAAGCAGAAATCGGAAGGACCTTTGCAGAGTCCATGCTCACGCGGAAGAGTGCATATTCCTCGGGGAGGCTGGCCAAGTGATGCTCGATGTCCTCGGAGTGAAGCTGTGCAGCTGCATCTCAAAGTGTACGGTACTTGCACGCTGTCCCCCCTCACTGTTTCGCGGAAGCATCATCGAGAACATCTGCGACATCGTTCTCGATGCCGAACTCACCTTATTCAAGCTAGGAAATGACCGCTGGTTGCAGCAAACACGGCGCTCGGCTTCTTGCTGCTAAGCTGCAGATGTCCCAAGCAATGCTGGGAAGGTGCTTTGTCACGGCCCAGTTCAAAGGTGTTTTTCGAAGAGAATCTTGCGAGTTCGCCGCGCGCTGCTCCAGCAACCGCCGGGCCAAACTTGCCCCAGAGTCATGTTGAAGCCTTGCTGCGTCAATCCTGAGATGCCCGCGCTCCAATCCCCGGAAGCCCTCACGTGTTGGGTCAGTGTACTTCTCAAGTTACGGCCAGGCATCAAGGGGTCGGCACCACACGCATAGTGGAGCAAAGTAGCTTCATATCCCTGGACCTCAGTCTGAAGTCTCGGAAAGGAAAACGCGTCACTTCTAAACACCCGGCCATGCTACCTGCAACTTCATCTCGACGAAGTTTCGTAAGTCATCCTGGACCTTCAAGCGCCCCGGTAATCTTTCGGGCTGTGCACCTCAAGGACTCAAGGACATGGGCGGGTCGTAAGCTGGACCTAACCACTGCGCTCGTGCCGTCGAGGTGCATGAGCAGCAAATCTGCTTGACATCTTTGCTTCGCTCCACTGGATGGCCATCGCGGCGAGCATGAAGCTGGGCATGCAGGCAACAAGCTCATGCCATCATGATACGTAGAGGAATGCAGCCACATGAACTGAAAGGAGATTCTGTCAAATGCTGAAAGCCGGAATCGGGGATGAACTGAGAGGAGGGTCCGCCAAACACCGAAGGCCTGAATCAGGGAGTCTTCCAGGATGGTTTTCAGGCCCTTGAAACGGTCCTCGAGAAGCAACACCCTCGACAACGCATGTGTCTCGATTTCTGAGGCACCTGCCCGACAACCTTGAATTTGCTTGAGCGGGGGCTGGGTAAATCAAAGGGAAACCAGGGATTTAAAGGAACTTGGGTGTGCGCGCGAGTGCGCGTTCGCGCATATGTAGGGTGCAACTTTGAATGAGCAGTGTGCTAGCCGCAATAAACTGCGCAAACAGCTGGCCCACACGCGGTTGGAAGCACCGAGAACATTGCGCACATGACGAGAACGGGCAGAAAGACTTCGAGCAACCATGCTGCAGACCATGGACGGGTCAAGCCCCCTGAAAGCCTCAAACTTTCCTGTGGCATAGCAATACCCCATGCTTGTTGTTCAGGACTGGGCTTTGCAGGACTTTGGAATTCGACCTGCAGCTTCGTTTAAAGATCCCTGACATGCTTCTCATACGCTCCTGCTTTTGATGGTCGTCTTTGATCTCGTGCATCTCAGACAGCATGGCTTCAAAGAAGAGCTTTGTGGCCTGTGTGAAAACTCTCCGTCACTTTGCGTGTGCCACTTCAAAGGGGCCACCGCTGCCCACTCCTAGGGGGAGGCCCTTGCCTTCTGCTTCGGGTTTAGCGTTTAGGGCTCGGGGCTTTGGGATTGGATTGTGGGAGTTTGGGTTGGGTTTTTTCGAGATGAGGGTGAAACAGAAAGGAACTGCTGACCTTGGATTGAGGGTTTACGGCTGAGGGTTGGGGGTGCAGGGTTCAAGCTGTGGGGTTGGGAGTTGAAAGTTGCGTTGACAGGGATTCGGGCTCCGGATGTAAAGTTCGGGGTTGAAGGCTGGGAGCAAGGTCTCTTGTTAGGGTCCCTTTGACATGCCCCAGGTTTGCGAGCATGATTGTTTTGACCCACTTGTGTTTCTGCTCTCTCATGTCTGTATCTACGTTTCCGCCGGTGCACAACCATGCCAACACTTTCAGTTCATCCCTTTCAACACCCATCAGAAATGCTTTACAAACGACAGGTAAGCTTCAAGATCGTGCTTGCACGAGTAATTTGCGGATCCTCTGCCTTGGCATGTCGCTGCTCGGTGGCCAGCTCCATTGGTGCCTGAGCGCCAATGCTAGGTGTGTGACCGCGACTGCGGCTGTGCCATGGACCATTGTCCGACCTTTGCCAGAGCCCCCTCATTACCCGGCACCCGGTGGACCTGATGCCTAGAATCACACTACCATAAGAGCTGTCGAATTTGGCTCCTGCACCTTGCTTTCCGATGTGGCATCCCTGATGTCGGCGTCGAACTCCTTCTGCCGAAGGAGTATTTCAAGCAGGGTACCTTTGAGCTGAATCAGAAGACTCTCCACTCTTGATGGATGGATGCAGAAGCCAGAAAGTGCAAGAGCGATGGAGAAGAAAGAAGAGCAAGAGAGGGAAAGAGGAGAGAAACACAGCAAGGGGAAGAGCCAGAGGCATGGCAGGCATGGGATAGATAGTCCATGATAGTCCCCGGCCTGTTTCGTGTGCCGTGTCGGACCCCGCAGGAGACCCGCGTTGTAGGCCCAACACTTCTTGCTCCTGCGCGCACAGGAACACACGTGGGCAAGCTCGTAATTCATGTTCTTCGGAGGCTGCAATGAAACACCGTGTGGTAGCTTGTGCAGGCCGACGACCTCCACACCATGCACAGCAAGCAGGTGGAGCACCGTGTGCCGTTTGGTGCAAGCCACATCCACATGCCTTTGCAGAATCAGTGGAGAGTGAGATGAATCCTGTGAAACTCTCATGGTATGTTAGTCAAACTGTAAAGTGCGCCCGTCGACCGCAGGCCTCATGCCCCACTCCAGAATGCGTTTCAACAGATCGGCACCGATTCGCTTCATTCGCTCCTGTCACTGGCAATGCCTTTTGCAAGCGGTGCGCAGGAAGGGTGAGCTGGGACTCATGAGGCTGCGCTTAAGGCACCTCCAAAAGGTGTCCACTTGGGACACACATGCGTTCTCCCTACTTTACCACCGGTCAACACATTCAAGTCCTTGTCTTCAAAGCTGTGTCGATCATCGGTGTACGGCCCCATCTCTGTGCCTCACAATGGCGCTCAAAAGGTCATTGCGATTCCCATTGTGGCCAGCGGCCTTCTTCAACTTAACAGTTCCTTGGCATCGGGCACCATTCCTGGAAAGTCTCGAAGAGAAGCACTGGATAAAAGGCTGAGCCTCCCATCAAAGATCCGTTTGGGCAGGAATAGCAGCTCTTTGGAATCTCCTCGCTACATTATGTGAAAGGATAGAGGACCTGCAGAGCATTGTTGAGTCAGGGGTTTACCACTTGCTCAATGCTTTTGCCCGCCGCTCGCTACGCGAGCGCGCCTTCCTGGTGAGGCTGGAGAGCCTTGCGCGGCTCCATGTAGTCTAGCGGTATCCGGCCATGGTGGTCTTGCATCAAGCAGTGACTCTTCATCTCGCGTGGGTAGGTCTCGAAAAGCCATTGGCCCAGTTGATGAAAATGATCTGCGACAGAAAAATGCAGAGGAGATTTCCCAGACGGCTCCAGCGATTGGAAATGTACATCCTTCTCATCCTTCAGAGCGTTCGGGACCGCTCGTAGCAGATTTTTGCACATCTCCAGATTGTTTGTGTTGGACGCCATTCGAAACAGCTGCCAGAAGTAGTCTTTGAACTCGTCCACGCTGACATCTTGAGTTTTCTTGCTGAATTCCCGAATCTTTTGGTCCAAAATGCTCGATGGCTCCACCTGCAAGTGTTCACACACGAATCACTCGCAAGCAAGTCTGCACAAGACTTGGTCACACCATCACCAGAGCAGTGCAAGAAACAGGCAACCTCGCCGTTGCCACGTGTTCTCCTGCAAGACGCATACTGCACAATGGAGACTACGCGCCCTGAGCTGCCTCGCTTGCTGGTCACCACCTGTATCTTAGACTCTTGCACATGTCAAGCCCAAGCATTTGATAAGCTGACTCGTGTCGATCAGGACTTCTCTCCTTCTACACAACTTCGTCACTGTCTGCCAGCAGCACGGAAAGCAGCATCGGACCCAAGGGCTTACATCGCGGAGGTTCGTCAGGCGGTCCAGCAGTTCGTACTGGCCTCGGTTTCCGAGAAGGCGAATCAGGAAAGGCGATCCGCTCCGCCCTTGAACCGCTCCGCTCTTGAGCTCAGGATGGGACTCGTCTTCTCCTCCCACCTCACAGGGCAAATGTAGCGCAGCGCAGTGCTTTGCGGCGTAACCGAAGGACTCGGCGGCATGTGCCAGCCAAGACACTCGAAACGCTGCTGAACCCAGAGGTCTGGCGGTCCACATGTTTTCAGGATCTCATGGATGGTGCTTTCCACTTCCTGCCGCCATGGGAAAGCATCAGGAGCCGACGCTCCATGCATGCGCTGGGTTTTGTTTAGCTGGCACAGGTAGCTGCAAAACCCCTACAGTAATACGCCACTAGACTCTTCGAAAAGAGTTTGTCGTCTCCTGCAAGACATGGGCAAATTCGATGTCACCCATCTGCAAGCGGGCTTTGAGCAACGTCAGCCTGTTGGTCAGACCTGGAGCACAAAGATATGATCAACCGAGGCTTGCGGCGAGCAGTCGCCTTCAACTTGTCTACGGTCTAAGCAGCACAATACTTGACTCATATGAACATGGCTGGCAAGGAGCTGTTGTATCGCTCGGAGGCAAACCGATTCCTTGACTGCTTGCAACCGTTGCACTACGGCGGGTCAGTGGGTGAAGCGAAAGTACTGGCGGGCAGAACCAAGTGTCTTCTCCATGCGTGCTTGCCATCTCCAGTACGTCCCGATTGAGGTGACAATTGTGCCGAGACCTGGCAAATTCAGAATTTGGGCCGCTTGGACTGCTGCTGAGCACGGAGCCGTGCCTGAGATGGAGGCGATGTAGACCCGGCTGTTCTCGAACTGGCTGTTCTCCGTCGCCAGCGTCCAAACTGTCGCCACAGCAGAGAGGACCACCTTGGACCAAGCAAAGCCTTCTATTCTACTGCTTCTACTGCTGGGAGGGCGTCTCAAAAGCCGGCGAGCACCGGTTCGAGCAGGAAGGCCGAAGCTGAGACGCGGGCCGAGGGCAGCGAAAGCGTCCAGAAGTTCACGTGCTCCTTGGCTCATGGCCAGGGCTCATGTTCTCCAAGGAGCAGACTGCGGCAAGATACTGGCTAGCGGCTAGCGAGACGGTTGCTGCCGCAAGAGCTCTAACTGAAACACTCACTGTCAACATAAAAAGCCGCACCGGTGGATGGATTCACCAGTGACCTGTTCAGGAGAGGGGGACACAATATCTCAAGAGTCGCTGGCACACCAGACCTTCCACAGAACACAGAGCACCAGTTCTTGAGGGAAACTTGGAAGACAACATCATCCCCTAGGGTTGGCAAGACAAGTGGCATAATACCGCTCGGCTCGACGATGAATCTGGAAGCCGTGCTCGGCCATCCGCTGCCATTGCTGCAACTTCTCCTGACAGTGCAAAGCCATGCGAATCGGGCATAGCAACACGACATGACAACGAGATAAAATCAGATAGCCGCAAGTTACATGTACTTCGGCCATATATGACTTTCAGACAGCACCAAGGAAGCGGCACAACACGACTTCGACTCAGGCGGGTCCTTCTGTTCGACGGTCAAAACCACGTTTCGAATCGGAGCACGGGGTGCCTCGATGTCACCTGCACGGGACCACTACAAACACGGGACCCATCGGAAGGTCCCAGCAAATCTGCGGGGACGGCGCTGCCTGCATCATGCCCATGCAAGCCATGCATCTTCGGACTTGGCGCTGGCGTGGCAGAATCATCCACTGCGCCAGGAAGAACAGGGAAATACGACATCGTCACGAACGCAAGCCGGCTCCCAAGGAAGCTTCCGTTAATATGTACCTGTTGGTTCTGCATCGAAAGTCAGGCTTAGCAAGGACCGTGGACAACCGCTGCAAGCTACAGACATCTGCAGCCTGTCTTAATGCTGTTTGCTGGGTCGGTTCATACGAAGCAATACCTTGAAGCGGAACGCAGCGCACGAAAGCCAAGCACAAGTGTTGGGGATGTGCAGAATGCATGTTTGCATGCGGCTCAATGCTTGGCAGCTTGGCAGCTTTTGTTCGGGAAGGGGGGTCGTGCGGGGGTGCTTGGACTTGGCCCTTGGCGTGGGAGGGAGGGCTCCCCCCAATGCGCATCTACGAAGGAAAGACTTGCATAAATTGCGAACAATTAACGCCTTGAATGCGCAGGGTTCCTGCCCCACCATTGGGGACATGCAACCTGACCCAAACCAGCCGAACCTCCGAGCACTACTGCATAAACCCTAACCGAAAAGCCTGCCCGACACAACCCGCCCTAAACAACATCACAAATTCTTACACCTAGACAACACCGAAACCCTACCTGTTAGCCCGTAACGCCTAAACGCCTACACGGCAACCTTGATGCTGAAAACCCTCAGCCCGAAACTCCCTAAAGGCCTGCACGCCTGCAACCGAAGCCGGAAGGCCGTCTTCTTCTTCAATTTTAGTAAACGAGCTGGCCCAGATGTTCGATATCGTCCTGTCGTCTGCCTAGAAGAAGTGCACAGATGTCCCAATAAATCGCTAGACATCCCGGATGTTGCTTCGCTTGTCGACATCGATGTGCTTGTGACAGTTTGCGTGCACGTTGGTACAAATATGTTTGTGGCATGGTATGGCATGGAATGGTATGGTATCGTCCGATAGTAGACCACGAGAATCAAAGATTGAAGAATGGACCAGATCGACCAGAACAAATAAATCTTGCCCCCGGATCTTATCGAGACGGGATGAGCTGACCCATGGTTTTTTTGATCTTATCTTACCGCACTTTCCTCGTGGACCGCCCTTTGAGGTGCTTCATCGCGAATTGCTCTGCAGCCTTTTGCTCAGAGCCAAAACTGATAAGCGAAAGCCTTTGGCTTCGCGGCATCTCCACACGGCGTGGTAGCCCGTAGGGCGCAACCGTATCGACACACCAGCACTAGCATGATGGCAACGTGGAACATGGAACTGGCCTTTGATTTCCATAAGAGCTTCAGACCCTATTTCGTGAGATGCGAGAGAAGCATGTCCCCTTGTGCAAAGGATGACATCTGTGTTCGCATTGAAGCTGTTTTTTCGCTGTATAGATTATGTGGTGTGATTTCGTACCGGTTCCCTTGAGGATTCAGTCTAGAAGTGCTCTAGCTGCTTTGGAAGGGTCTCATCTTAGGGGGTATCCACTTACTCTTCCTTCGGTTCTAAGTAACTGTTACGGTGGGTCTCGCGGTGCCAAGAACCGGTTGAAATTTCTGCAAGAATCCCAGGGTCATCGGGCTCCCAAAAGGAGCACTCCGTTCGGTCTGGAGTCGAGTGGCTTTCAGAACAGAAACTCCCAGTCCTTGAACTTCCCAAGGTTGGAGTAGTAGAAGCCTCCGAAAGCCCAAAAGCCTTCAAGCCTGGTCGCTTAGCCTGCGAAAACCCTGCCATGCGTGCCCATGGAATCTAGAAGACATTATCTCAACAAGGCACCCCACCGTGAGAAGCGATCGTGCATCTGTGTGGGCCAAGCATTCTGCCGGCCCTATTATTTCATGTGCTTCGCGTGCAGTGAACCAATTGTCATGGAGCAACAACCCGCACCCGCACGTTCCCGATTGCACCTCCCTGGCAGACTGGCTCGCCAGCATGACTTTACAGGGGCCAAGCGCGCGGAGGAATCTTGCTTGATCTAGAACCTCCTGCTGCAAAGCTCTCGGCGCTCTCAGCCCAGATCCAGGAGTCCCACAACCCAAGCCTTTCAAAAGGAGGGGCGTGAGCCAAAGTGGCGTTTCTGTACAAGCCTGCCCGGCAACCTTCCGGCAGCCAAGCATCACAGCATCCGCGGATCTGACTTGCCAGCCAATAAAATAAATGCAGAACTACTGGCTCACTGCCTGCCAAAACGCTTGGGCCAAAGCCCTTCCAGTATCCTCATCGAGTAATCTTTGAAGCTCTGCCTCTGCGTTTGCTAAGTCCTCCCACTCTGCCTTTCCGTTTCTCAGAATCCGACGCAGTGCAGACAGCACTGCCAAAAAGCTTTCGAGTTCCGGAGCACATGGCTCGCCTCGCTCGCCTCGCACGTGCATCACTGCAGCTTCATCTGCCTGCAAGACTGACAGCATTCTCGCAGCAGACCATCCTCGCGGGGGAAATCGAATTAAGTGCTGGGTCCAGGTGTTGGCCATCAGCGCCACCGCTGCCCGCCGACAAGGCTGCAGTGTGACATTTCCAGGCAAGGTTTCCAAGAATCGAGCCCAGCCACGCGCGGCATGCGTCAGGACGCCTGCATCCTCTCCTGTGCTAAACCTGTGTATCCTGACATCGTCGCCATGATTCGTCGCATGCAGGGACACCACGGCCTCGGCCAACGAAGAAACCTGCCAAGACCGACCAAGTTGACTTCATGGGCTCGGAAAGCAGGAAGCTCATGACCACACTCCCGAGACCCCTCAATGCTCGGTGCACGCCTCCGACTCGAACGCCTTGGCAAAAGACGAGAGTACCTCCGCATCTTTGGGCTTGGGAGGCTTGCCTTCGGCTTCCACGCTTCAAGGCTTGAGACGGCTTGAGACGGCTTGGGCCTCAACGCACATTGCGGTGGTCGTCTCGGAGGCCCAGAATCCAGGCTCCGCAGCTGCGCTGCGGCAGAAGCTGCCGAGCTGCACAGCGTCCTCAGGTCTGCGATGGTCGGCGGTTCTTTAGGACCCATAGAGTGAGCCCCTGCCTAGAGCTAGACAGCCATCGTGCGTTGTGGGCCTGGGGCCTCCTGGTTTTTGGTGGTCAGTGTGCAAAGCTTGCTTTTTGGGGGAGACGACGCTGGCTGGTTCAGTCGCGGGCATGGGCACGGCAGGAAGGTGGGGGGTTTAAGGCCTCGATGCAAAAAGCGCACGTTTCCTTGCTAAAGGACCCTAGCGAAAGTCAAGGTGACCTGTAGTGCCACGGAAATCGCACATGGCACCCAAACTTTCCCCAAAACTTTCCCCATTGCAGGCCATGTTAGTCAGTCCTGCAGCGCTTGGTGGAGCACGTCCTCCGAGCAGCCGTGAGACTTCTCACCGCATGATCCCATTTTCCTTACGAGATCTGACGAGACTTGAGTGTCGCTGACAGGACAAGACGAATGAATCATTGTGCGAGTTGAGGTTATCGGCTTGTGGTGTCCACTGCCCCTGCGCTATCATGGGACTGCAGACCGCCAGGCATCTGGAAGTCTTGCAAAGTGCGCCGAAAGGAACGACGCCGTTTCCGAGTACGGATGAACATCTGCACCTCCTGACGGGGCAGCATTTTGCATTTACAGTTCCGAAACGACAACCAGGCGCATGCCATGAATTCGAACGTCACCCACATAGGTCGGTGCTGCAGCAGCCCATCCCCATCCTGCCGTAGCGGCTGAGCAGCAGCCCGTTGCGAACGGAGTGTGGCATTGAGGCTAGCGACAAGCACGGAGGCAGCCTGGCTTGCCGACGTGCTGCATGGGTTGGAAGTGCCAACACAATCTTGGGATGACACCGACTTGGGACGTAAGATGCCAGAGAGTCATTTCCCAACTTCAGTTCAGTATGGGCTGCTTCATTTCTACATGTTCCGTCTGCTTCAGCCTGATCAGCACCCTAAACCCAAAAACTTCCACTCACATCTGTCTTGTGGCAGCCGGGGCCCCGGCACGCTCCGTGGCCTCAGCATGGCCACGCCAGCGCCGCCACAGCGCCGCAGCGGCACCCAGGCGCCGCAGAGCCGATGCCACATCCGGAACAGCCTTCCCAAAGACCAGGTGCAAAGGGCCGAAGCTGGAGGCATTTTTTCACCGGGGCCTCGCCATACCCTTCGAAGATCTGTGCGAAAAGGGCCGCAGACTCTTCACCTCGAAACTGCTTCCTATTCATGGCTGTTGCCGCCCCGGTCACGCGCAGGGGTCAAGCGCACTCGTTTGCCGTGGCACAGCTCCTGGACTCCCATTCGCGAAGCGAGAGCTTCTCCAAAGAGTCGTAGACTGTCCGGCTGTGGTCCAACCGTCCTACAGTTCCCGCATGTACCCGTGTTAATTGACCGTGTGGTACAGGAGTCGTGCTTGTGGCAGCCTCTACGAGCTGTACGAGTCTCAGCGATGCGTCGAGTCCTGCAAAGGACTCGGCAGCGTCGCAGAAATAGATGATCGCTGGCCGCGCCTGAGGGAAACCATACTCAGATTCATCAAAATATACTTGCCCCAGAAGAACTTAAAGAGGGTCCGCCTCGAAGAGCAGCCACTGCGACAGGTGACTTAGGTCTTCGGCACCCGGATCTGTCCTCAGCTCTCCTTCAGACGCAAGCCAACCGTTCTCAATGCCTTTCTATGCTCATCACTTCCCTGTCTTTCTCTCTGTTTCTGGGTCTCTCAGCATGTTGAGAGAAGAAGTGAACTCAGTCCGAATGCCCAACAACCTCCGCTTGTACTGTATATAAGTACCTGTGATTGGAGAAACGCAGCCTGAGGTCAGGCAGGCTTGTTGCGCACCTGAAGCTGGATCAAGAAGGTGACTCATTTCCTTCCTTCAATCTTGTCTTCTAGCGTTCTAGCGAGCAGTAATGGACTGACCAGACATCTGATGGACAATCCAGACAATCAGGACGTCCTTATCTTTAGCCCTTGCGCTTCCCTTGGTCCGCGCTTGTGCACCTTGCGCGCGGGGCCTTTTCGACTGCTTTATCATGTCAAGAGTCAGCACCTAATAAAAACAAAGCAAGGGTTTTCGGGACGCAGCTCATATATGTTATCAATATGTATCTTGCGCCCGCCCTTGCGCGAGCTTGCGCGCGCATTGG